CTAGTTAATACCACTATTATTCAAATTTGCACATCAACCACTAAAGCCAGTGGGGATGAAATAGAAGAATTATGCCAACTTCTTCAATCTGAAATTGATCAAACATGTATTGATCATTACTGGTGATTGGAATGCAATGGTTGGGAGCAAAGAGGAAGGATCAATAGTTGGAAAATATGGCCTTGGTGATAGAAATGATGCTGGAGATCGCATAATAGAATTCTGCAAAATCAATGATTTGTTCATTTCAAATAACTTCTTTAGACAGCATAAGAGATGACTATATACATAGACCTCACCAGATGGAATACGTAGAAATCAAATTGACTACATCTGCAGAAAGAGATGATGAAAAGCTATAAAATTAGAAATCGTCAATATGAAAATTAAGGGAAAAAAATCAAATACATGAACAACATGAGGAGAAGATGCAAATAACACAGATTAAAAAAAAAAAAAAATGAAAAGGGGACATCACAGCAGTACCAACTAATCACCAAGTTTATGTGAAAAGAAATCCCAGATACAGAGAGCACTACTAAACAAGAAGAACAAAGCAGAAGGCCTTATACTTCCCAATCTCCAAACCTGCTACAGAGCCATAATAGACAAAACAGCCTAGTTCTGGTACAACAAGACAAATAGACAAATCGGACAAAATTACATGAACCCAGAAGTAAATCTATTTATGGATAACTGATCTTAGACAAAGGACCAAAATTCCTTTGTCAAAATGGGGAAGAGGTGGTCTCTTTTATTTAAGGTGCTGGCAAATCTGAAGAGCAGTGGTGAATTTGAACTACTGACCTTGTTGTTCAAACTGTTCTTTCGGTCCAATGTATTATTCCATAGTGCCACACCAGGACACTATCTCTTCCCATGGTGGTGGTGGTGTGCTGAGGAGCCAGTTCTGACTCATAGCGACCTTGTACAGAGTTTCCAAGGCTGTAAATCTTTATGGGAACAGAACACCTCATCTTTCTTCCTTGGAACAACTGGTAGTTTCGAATTGCTGACCTTGAGATTAGTAGCCCAATTCGTAACCACTACACTACCAGAGTGCCTTGTCTCTCCCCATAGATGTAGGTAATTTGAATCCTATGTATAATCTGTCAGATTGTCATACTGTGGTGTTATGTTGCTGTAATGCTGGGATCTATGGCACCGGTATTTAAATAGCAGGGTCACCCATGTGGACAGTTTTCAGTGGAGCTTCCAGATTAAAACAGAGTAGGAAGTATGAGAAGCAGACCACTTCTGAATTTTTAGCCACTGAAAACCTTATGAATAGCACCAGAACATTGTCAGTTATAGTGCCAGAAGATGAGCCTCTCAGATTGGGAGGCACTCAAAATACGACTGGTTAAGAATTGCCTCCTCAAAGTAAAGTTGAAAGTGATGCTGTGAATAGAGTAAAGCTTTCAGGACCTTCATTTGCTGTTGGGGTACCATTCAAAATGAGGAGAAACTGTTGCAAACATCCATTAATAATTGGCATTAGGAATGTACAAAAGTATGAATCTAGGAAAATTGAAAATTGTCAAAAATGAAATAGAATGCATAAAGAACAATATCCTAGGCATTAGGGAGCTGAAATGGATTGGGATTGAAAATTTTGAACAGGCAAAAGGTAGTCAGTTCCATTACAAATGGAAACAATTGGAAAGAAAGAAGGTATAAGGAGAAGCAACCTCGTCTATTCCTGCATCTTGTTTTTCCCTAGCCCATTTACCCATTTTTAAAATTCATTCTATTTTTCAAAATACAGCCTAATGGAGGTAGTGAACATTAAGAAAGTTTTTAGAATTTTGTCTACTCACCTTTCCGCCCCCTAATATTTCTGAGCAGGTTGGGCTATGTGCCCCATAAATTCCTGAAATATTTGTTCTGTCTCCCTTTCTTTTGGTCATTGTATTACAAAAGCATTTCTTTGCTTAATTTCTTCAGATTTTTTTCTCTAGTTCCTCCTTCATTTTCCTATCTTATTTATTGTTAGTTTTTCTGGGTGACAACCTGTGATCTGATTTCATGTCACCAAAATCTTTTGTGAAATATGTGATTATAACACCTGCCCCCCCCTTTTTTTTTTGTCTTTTGACTTTATTACTGTGTATGGATCACAAGTTAATAGAGAATAAGGATATCTTTTTAGGTTTTTCAATCCCCACTTCTTAAGATACTGGACATCCACCTAGTAGTGACTCAATAATAACTTGCTTGCTAATGATTAATTGAACTGTTAGTTATTAAAAAAAGATTAACATTAGGTTATAACCTTGAGATTCTACTCCATTTCCTTCAACATTCCCCTCCAAGGCTAAGGTTTTAATAAATTTAGATTATTAAATAAATATAAAAATCTATATTAAACAGACTGGAAGCATAGTGGTTACGAATTGGGCTGTGAACCTCAGGGTCAGCAGTTCGAAACTACCAGCTGTTCCACTGGAGAAAGATGAGGCACTCTGCTCCAGTAAAGATTTACAGCCTTGGAAACCCTGTATAGGGTCCCTATGAGTTGGTACCGACTCCATGGCACATAACAACAACAACAACAACATATTAAACAGACAGCCATTTTCATTATTTCACTTTTCTTTATATTTGTACATAGGAAATTGTTTTCTGTTTCTATCTTAGTTGTTAGAAATACATTTCCACCTATATATTTCTTTGTACATTTAACAAGTATTGATTTTCCCTGAGCTATTTTGCCACATTTCTAAAGCAGAATCAAAAGAAGTTTTTTTTTTTTTTCATTTAATTCAAACAAACACATATTTACCAGTGTTTCTGAGGACATGTAGAATTTTCCCAATTTGTAGTTACAATTGGCTATTTCAGCTACTGTTAGAGATATATACATTTTTATCATTTAAACATTTTAATACTTTTTTCCCCTTTGAGTATAGGTATGTTTTACAATAATGGTTTTATGCAATATTTACCCTTTTGTGACTGACTAATTTCACTCAGCATAATGTCTTCAAAGTTCATCCATGTTATGCAGTGGCTTGCAGCTTCCTTGTTGTTCTTCAAGGTAGCATAATATTCCATTGTATGTATGTACCAAAGTTTGTTTATCCATTCTTCCATTGATGGGCACTTAGGCTGTCTACATCTTTTTGCTATTGTGAATAGAGCTGCTATGAAGATTGGTGTGCATATATTTACTCCTGTTATGGCTCATTTTTCTTGTGGATATATACCAAGTTGAGGAATTTCTGGATCATAAGGTATTTCTATTTCCAACTTTCTGAGGAAGCACCATATTGTTTTCTAGAGAGGTTGGATCATTTTGCATTCCTGTCAGCAATGTAGGAGGGTTCCAGTCTCTCCACATCCTTGCCAGCATTTATTGTTCTCTGAGTTGTTGAGCGTCTCTGTTATTGCTGGTGTGAGATGATATCTCATTGTTGTTTTAATACATTTTTATTTACTGATAATCTACCAAGATGATCTGGCAGCCTAATCTGACTTTTTGCCACATACTGGACAAATAATAAGGAATTTTCTGTTTTAAAGTATATTTTTAAAAATATTCACTTATTTAACATACAGGTAAATCTGATTTTATTGCACTTCACTTTACTGTGCTTTGTAGATCTTGCCTTTCTTACAAATTGAAGGTTTGTGGCAATCCTGGGTCCAGCAAGTCTGTTGGTGTCATTTTTTCTAACGGCATGTGCTCATTTGGTGTCTCTGTGTCACATTTTGTAATTCTTACAATATTTCAAACTTTTCAACATGCTATTTCACACTCTGTAGACTGCAGTATAAACATAACTTCTATATATACTGAGGAACCTAAAGAGTTGTATGATGACTTTATTATACATGATTGATAAATGCTTTATTGCTGTGATCTGTAACTAGATTGACAATATCTCTGAGGTATGCTTGTATTTATTTAGTTTGATTACTATTTTGAATGATCAGGATGGGAAAACACTGCAGTTCAATTTTTGGAGTGAGAAAACCATAATCTAATGATACAATGTTATTAAAACCCATTGTTTGGAATTTTATTTCTTGATATTCTTAGTTATTTTATAAAATCTTTGTTGTGTTTTCTAATTGCTCATTCCTTTGGCTTTTTTATACATCAACTCTATGTTATCTACTCCAAAGACACATGGCAAAATTCCTTGCAATTACTGGTGTAAGCTAAATTGAAATTCTAGATAGTAATACCTTACTAGTATTAGTATATTATAATAATTAATATAAATTCTATTCAACATGAAGCATATATTTTCTAGAACCCTTTGTTTCTGGATAATAAAAAATTCTAAATGTTTCTAGAACCTAGTTTCTTCATCTATTAATCAGGAAAACTTAAAATAACAAATGAAGAAATTATACCAGATGACATTTCAAATTATATTCAATTTATGATTCTAACTGTGGTGCTGTAGAATCAGCACTGCTAACCACAAGGTTGGCAGTTCAATCCCACCAGCCACTCCTTGAAAACCCTATACAAACTCACTAGTTGAAATTGACTCACTAGCACTTAACAACAATAATTTATATTTATCTATATTTAGTACATAATTTTATTTTAGAGACATGAACTTCTGAACTCAAAATATATTAAAGGCATAATACTGGATGGATACATTGCATGATGAGTCTAAGAACATTGGAGATATTTGTCAAAATGTTGGAAGCTTCAGAGAAGTTATGTAGTTTTCCCCTCTGAATCCAGGCATTAGCAACAATAAAAGTATAATGTCTTTCTAAGCCTATCATTAAAGATCTCTTAGAACTTTTCCAGGTGAGATGGAGAAGTATAAGTTCTGTCCATTCTGAACTTTCCTAGCTTTATGATGACCTGCTGTTCTAAAATCTTCCATTTCTCTAGTTGCTCTAATGGCATTAGCATTTTATTTATGCTCCTATAGGTGGTAGTTGGAAAGTTTCCATAATCACCAGTGACTTGCCAAATGCAGGGACCAGCTCACAGATTTACATTGTACTATATGGACAACATAGAAGTTCAGCTCCCATTTATCTTTATGGAACAAATGAAGCTCGATTTCAGGATGGTCATGAAGACATCTTTATTGTAAGTAATACATCTAAGTATGACTTCTTAGTGTAAGTAATACAGCCAGTAGGCACTTTGGAATGACGTGTTCTGTGCTGTCAAGTTGGTTCCAATTCATAGCAATCCTATGCACAGCAGAATGAAACACTGCCTGGTCCGACACTACCTCACAATTGTTATGTCTGAGCCCATTGTTGTGCCATGGTGCCAATCTATATTGTTGTGTGTGTGTGTGTGTGTGGGCTTCCTCTTTTTTGCTGATCCTCCACTTTACAAAGCATGATATCCTGATGCAGGGACTAGTCCCTCCTGAATGAATACATGGCATCAGATTTGGCATTATACATCCTGTAGATCAGTCCAAAGTATTTCATGCCAATATTTGCTTAAGCAGATTAAAACACAAGTACAAACTCAGTATTATAAGGGACAACAGCTAGAGAGTAGTACTACAACCCACTGCTATTGCGTTAATTCCTTCTCATAGCAACCTTATAAGACAGAATACAGTAGTAATGGTCAAGGTCAAAACAGGAAATATAAAAATTTCAAACAAGAGAGGCAAAGATGTTGTCATCAACTTATCAGATCATGAGTAGACATGTGCAGATTAGGATCTAGGCATATATGAAGAGAAGACTGGTTTTCTGTTGTCAGAAATATTAGCATTCAAAGGTAAACTTGAAACGAGTCAAGCGTCTGGTACTTTATGGGTGTTTAGTAACGTTTCTGAGTGGATGACTGGATGCATAGAACATGTAATACTAGAGGTTAGTACCTGTGTACTCAGCCCCCAAATGTCACAAACAGAAAATGCCCTTCCCATTAGTTTTGTTTGAACTATCCTTTCCACACTTTCTCCATGAGTCAGTATGTTGACAACCACTACAAATATAAGGCTAAAAAAAAAAAGACTTGTTATTTTGCATATATAAAAATAGTTTCAGGGTGGGTCTTGTTGGAGGCTAGGGTGGAGGTGTAGTGAGGTTTACTGTTAGCAATACCAGAGAATACCAGGCACAGCAGATTCAGGGCAGAGCTCCAAAACTTGGAACCACATAGGTAGGGATATTTTAAAAGTTTGAAGGCTTATAGCTAGTGGAACTTGTAACAAAAGTAAGAAATTGTATACTTCTGAATCTTCTGGACTCGGTGGCCCAGAGCCAACAACATGGGTCAGACCACATGGCAAGACCAAGCAGGGGAGCAGACATACTATGGAAAAATGCCATGGAAACCTCAGAGCAAAGGTGGACAATACACTTTGTCGGTTTTGTTTTGTTCTGATTTTCTTTTTTTGTGGTTGTTGTTATCTGTTCATTGCCCCCCCCCACTGTTTGTGCACCTCCATTCTGGTGACTAGAGTGGTTGCCTGAGTGAGTGGACATCCCCCACCCTCACCATTGATGGGTTCTTCTGCCATGCATGTGCACAGATACTCTCAGCCCAAGAGCCAGCCCTGAACAGTTTTTTGTTTTTTGTTTTTAATATGGAAAAGACCAAAACAAGTGGGGTGTGGAGAGGGAAAGAGAGTTTCAAGGCAAAACAGGTCAAACATTAAATTAAATCCTGAGGTACAGCATAACAACCAGCAGTGGCATCCTGAAATCTCTCAGGCTGAAGAGAGGACATTAAAGTCATACTCATATTAGGCTACAGATTTTTTTTTCTTCTTCTCTCCGTCTTCACCCTGCAATTATAGACTACAGTATCCAGTCTAGTTTTTATTGTTTTTTTTTTCTTGTTTTTTTGCTGTTACTGTTTTGCTGTTTTATGCACCCACTTCTACCTTTGGGAGATGCTTTCTTTCCCTATATTACCCAAGAAGAGTCAGCAACTGTTGCCATATAGTCAAGCTACAATCACACTCTATAAAACACCAAAATCCAGGCAAGAACCAATACCAACTGCCATATACCAGGGAGGGAGACAACACCTGTGAAAGTTACTTTGAGTTAAGCTATAAGAAGAGTGAAAAGGGAAGCCCACATCCTGATCATATCTACCTGGAATACCAAACAAGATAAAAATATCAAAACACACCCTCAATTAAGTATTAAGGCCACAGATAAACACTAATCATGTCCAAGAAGAAAAAGCAGATGACCATATAAGCACATGTCCAGAAACAAGATAAAATGTCTAAGACAAATGACCTAGAGGTAGACCTGGACTATGTTCTGGAAAGAGAGCAGGCCTTGGAAATGCCTGAGAGGAAATTCAGAAAAATGATCATAAAATGTTTCAAAACTCTTTAAAATGGAGTTGAGAAAAATAAGGAAGAAGTCAGGAAAGCACTACAGGAACAATCAAATAAGATAGATACAGCATTGGAAACAATTCACAACCTACAGAAAGAGGTCCAAATGATTAACAATAGAATATCAGAAATAGACAATACACTAAAAGGTAAAGGAGAAGAATAGAAGAGATGGAAGGCAGAACCAGTGATCTGGAAGACAAATCTCTCAATACCACTTAGAAGAGCAAATAGCAAAAAGGATAAAAAAATCTGAAGATGGTCTATGATTCATGTTGGACCACATGAGGAGGAATAACTTAAGAATTGGCATTCCAGAACAAGAAGAATCACACAAGTCCACAGAGGAAATAGTTGAAGAACTGCTGGAAGAAAATTTCTCTAACATCCTGAAAGGTGAAAAGATAAACATTCAAAAAAAAAAAGAAGCTCAAAAAATCCCAGGAAGGATAGACCCCAAAAGAAAAACACCGAGACATATCATAATCAAGCTCTCCAAAATAAATGATAAGGAGACACTCCTGAAAGCAGCTAGGGTAAACAGAAGTGTTACATACAAAGGTAAGCATAAGTCAGATTAAGCTCAGATCTCTCAGCAGAAACCATGCAACCAAGAAGGCAATAGGGAGACATATATAAAACCCTGAAAGAAAAAATCTGCCAACCAAGAATCCTTTATCCAGCAAAGCTATCAACCAAACATGATGGTGTAATCAAAACATTCCAGGATAAACAGAAAGTAAGGGATTTTGCCAAAGCAAAATCTGTCTGATGTGTCAATGCAAAAGATTTTTTCCCATTCTGTGGGCTCCATTTTTGCTCTTTTGGTGAAGCCTTTTGATACATAAATTTTAAATTTTTAGTATGTCCCAATCATCTACTTTGTCTACTTTTGTTTGTGTAATTTTCAAAATGTTTGGTAGTCTGTGTACACCCTGAATTAGTGCCCTCACATTTGTCCTTATTTTTTCATTGATGACCTTCATAATTCTGGGATTCACATTTAGGTCTTTAATCCATGCTGAGTTGGGTTTTGTATAGGGTGTGACGTAGATGTCTTGTTTCATTCTTTTGCATATTGCTTTCCAGTTCTACCAGCACCATTTGATAAAGAGACTGTCTCCTCCCCATGCAATATGTCTAGGCACTTTGGCAAAAATCAGTTGGCTGTATGTGGATGGATTAACTTCTGGATTCTCAATTCTGTTCCATTGATCAATGTATCTTTCAGTTTACCAGTACCAGGCTGTTTTGACTACTGTAGCCATGTAGTAAAATTTGAAAAAGTGGAGTGAGACGCCTTCAACCTTGTTTTTCTTCTTAAGTAGTGCTTTGCTTATCCTGGGTCCATTTCCTTTCCATATACAGTTAGTAATTGTCTTTTCCATCTCTTTGTAGAATGGTGGAATCTGGATTGGGCAGTATTGAGATTTTCATGATGTTGAGTCTTCCTTTCCAGGAACATGGTTCCACTTCTGTAGGTCTCTTTTGGTTTCTTGTAGTAGTGTTTTGTAATTTTCTTTATATAAGTACTTTGTCTGGTTACGTTTATTCCTAAATATTTCATTCTTTGGGAAGCTATTTTAAATGGAATTGCTTGCCTAATGCCCTTTACAGCACTGTAATTGTTGCTATAGTGGAATTCAACTAAGTTTTGTATGTTGATCTTATACCCTGCCACTTTACGGAATCTTCCAATGAGGTCTAGTAGTTTTTTACTGAGTCTTTAGCGTTTTCTATGTATAGGATCATACCGTCTGCAAATAGAGAGAGTTTTACTTCCTGTTTCTCAATTTGGATGCCTTTAATTTCTCTATCATGCCATGTAGCTCTTGCTAAAACTTCCAGCACAATATTGAATAGGAGTGGTGACAAAGGGTATCCTTGTCTGGTTCTCATTTGCAGAGGGAAGGCTTTCAATTTTTCACATTGAGAGTGATATAGGCTGTTGGTTTTGTATAAATGCTCTTGATTATGTTGAGGAAGTTCCCTTCAATTCCTACTTTGTTGTGTGTTTTTATCAGGAATGGATGTTGGATTTTGTCAAATGCCTTTTCTGCATCAATTGATATGATCATATGGTTTTTTCCCTTTTTTCTTATTTATATGGTGGATTACGTTGATTGTTTTTCTAATGTTGAACCATCCTTGCATCCCTTTTATGAAACCCACTTGGTCATGATGTATTACTTTTTTGATGTGGTGTTGGATTCTGTTGGCTAGGATTTTGTTGAGAATTTTTGTGTCTATGTTCATCCAGCATAGTTGCAGGCAGCATAGTTTCCTTTCTTAGTGATGTCCTTCCCTGATTTTGTTATGAGGGTTATGCTTGCTTCATAGAAAGCAAGTTTTCCATCCTCTTCTATATTCTGGAATAATTTGAGTAGAATTGGTGACAGTTCTTCCCTGAATGCTTTGTAGAACTCACCCGTGAAACCATCTGGGCCTGGACTTCTTTTTTTACTCCCAATATTTATGAATGTGACCATGTTTGGAAACACAGGTTTTACTTTGTCAGGTTAATGAGTTCATATAGAAGTAAGATTTATCATTTATCAAATCTTGTCTCAAAAAAAAAAAAAAGTTGCCATTGAGTTATGTCTGATTCACATGT